ACTAAAATATGCATTCGCCAGCAGGATTCGAACGCACGTTCCATGAGCGAAAAATATCACTAGATCTAACGTGCCGGAGAGCGCATATTTTTCTCTCTAATAATTAATTACCCGCTGAGCCACGCAGCAAGATGTGGCACAAGGCCGAGTTTAAAGTGGGGTATTCCCAAGTGGGGTATTTCGTAAAAAACGAAGTCAGCTTCCCGAGACGAGACTCTGCCTTTCGGTAGAGCCTCGTCTCGAGGATACCCTCTGCCATAAGCCAGGTAAGTATTTTTCTCTTTAATATGATTTTTCGCATATCCAGGCCGGAAGATGAAAATAAATAAATGTGTAATTTAATAAATAAACGGGACGTCTATTCAAATATGTGTATCCACTAAAAATAATGTTTAAACATGTTGGATTGATAAATAAAAATTCTTTATTCCTTTGTGTTATGGTCCGGTTCCTTGTACCACGGTGATAGTCCAAGGTAGAACCAAATAAGAAGAACTCGAACACAGGTATGGAATAACACAGATATATTACAAACAAGAATATATACAGAGAAGTAGAAAGTGTTAGTATGAACAATCAGGTTTAGTAGGAAGAACAATGTAGTCTCGACCAGTATCACTATTCCAATGTCTTGTAGTAATTGTCTGAATGGGACTCTGTTTCGGACTGCCTCTGACTCGACTGACTGACTCACTCTGACTGACTGACAGACTCCTGACGGACTTCTGACGGACCTCACTCCAGACTTCTGACTGAACTCTCTGCTTCCTCTTGAGGCGCAGTAGTTATTACGTATGGAAGAGTCCATTATGTTATTATGGGTAAGGACCCGTAACACTTTGGAAATTACTTTGTCTAGGTTTGTATACACACTGAGCAGATATGAACTTTAGAGAATCTGGAAAGCATTTGCTTTTATAAGACTCTATTCAACTTTGATTGGCAACACCCTTCTTGGTTTAAAGCATGTCGGTTCTAATAAAGGTTTACCTGGCAAAGGAGGAAAGATGTTTGAATCCCGTCAGAGGGCAAATATCTTTTTTTAATAAGATTTCTTGAATATTCAGGCCGGTAGATGAAAATAATTATACTGTCTAATAAATAAACAGGACGTCTACTTAAATATCGGTATCCACTAGAAATAATGTTTAAGCTGATAAAAGCGTTTATTTGTGCGAAGACAATAGCTTTCGTTGAAATTTGTTTTCTATATTCCAACCCCAATTTCTAAGCACATCCAGCAGTAATGATGTTGTTAACCTTGTAACCCCAATGTGGACTGTAGGGTCATGATAAGTGTTGCTATTTACAATATTACATTATTTATTGGAATTATTAGCAAATCATCGACTAATTGTCAATCGATTCAAACTTTATAAGATGGTAAATGATAAGAATCTTTTATAGTTGATTCCCGTATTTTAATAATTTTGTAAATGTTTACAAATTTATGAATAAAAATTGTTTTCATACTTATTTCCTCATTATTTAATAAATATTGCATTAATTTTTATTGTATTAGTTTTTAGAATGTTGTAAATATAAAAATATTCTTTTAAATATCCAATCTAATAAATAGTGTTTAATATTTTTGTTGTACATTCTCAAAAAATATATATATATAGAAATTCACTTTCATCATATGTTTAAATTTTATTACAATTCTAATCATTGCTTTTTACAACAATAAATGTTGCCAAGAAGCAAAAGTAGTTAAAATAATAGCAATGTCACTAGAGAAACTGTCCTTTTGACAAACTGTTCTTTTTTGTGGGCATGAAGGTCCAAGACTGCCATAATTTTATTGTATGCATTTTTTTCTAATAAGTAATATAATTTGGATATATAATGTATTTCTATTTTTAAATAATCCACAAAAACATAAACCATGTGTCAAAAATAACGGAGTGTCAAAAGGACATTTTCTCCATCGACACTGCTATTACTTTAACTACCTTCACTCCTTGACAATGTTTTTCATTTTAAAAAGCAATGGTTAGAATTGTAATAAAGCTTAAACATATAAAAATGAATTTTATACATTTTCTTTGTTCTTGAAAACTGACCACAAAATTAATAAACATTATTTGCTTATCATATTGTTTATTGGAATAATTGGCAAAACATTGGCTAATTGCCAATCAATTCAAACTTTATAAAATGGTAAATAAGGATTTCTTTATAGTTGGTTCCCATACTTTATTAATTTTGTAAATGTTTATAAATTTATGAACCAAAAAATTGTTTTCATATTTATCTCTTTATAAATTAATAAATATTGCATTAATTTTAATTGTATTAGCTTTTAGAATGTTGTAAATATAAAATTATTCTTTTAAATATCCACTCTTAAAAATAAAGTGTTCGAATCCTGTCAGAGGCACTTATTTTTCTTCAGTATGGTTAAATATGGTTGGCAAAAATCGGCTAATTGACAGTTCATTCAAACTTTATAAAATGGAAGTACTTTTTTTAAGCTATAATAATTACGTAGACCACTGAAAAATTCTGGGTTCAAAATGGGCCATGAAAAAAAAAATCACGTTGAAACACTGCCTTGATTTATTAGTTTGTTTATTTACACTAACAGTTTCTTTTCTCGCACTTATCACCTGTGGAACTCACTTCTAATTTTTTTTTACTTTCCTACCTCTTATAAACTTCAGAAATCTCTATGCAGTGTCAAATACTTTCTTTAATAAGATTTCTCGAGTATCCAGGCCGGTAGACGAAAATAAATAAATATACTCTTTAATAAATAAACGGAGCATCTACTCAAATATCTGTATCCCGTAGAAATAATCTTACTTATTATAAAACGCAGATTGTGTGTGTGTGTGTGTCTGTTTGTTTATATATTGGATCGGATTTCCTACATTTTTCAACCGAGTTCAACAAAACTTCACAGGACGACGTAAAATTACCTTGCGGTGGTTCTGACAGCGCCAAAAATTGGAAAAACACAATTGTTTTTGCACGAAATCAATTTGAAAACACGATAAAACACGATTCTGTCGCCAGAATGAAAGGGGGACAACTCTTATCGAGTTATGTTATAAAACTCAGGTTGTTTGTTTGTTTGTTTGTGTGTTTGTGTGTGTGTGTGTGTGTGTGTGTGTGTGTGTGTGTGTGTGTGTGTGTGTTTATATATGAGATCGGATTTCCTACATTTTCAACCGATTTCAACAAAACTTCACTTTTTTGGCAGGTAGTGTATCTTATTGTCTTGCACACTTTTTCTTTATTTTTACATTCAGAATGCTTTAAAAATTCCATTTACAAGACAATTGTATATAATAAAATTCTATTCAATCGGTAGACTCATAACGATTGAAAACAATGTTTTTTTTTTAGTTTAGGTTTGACTAATTCGTAAAAAAAAAAAAAAAAAAAAAATCTAAGACATGCGTGTCCGTCAACCTTAAACAATAATCTTTGTCAATTTTATTTATGATGGTCGATTGGTCGATACTTGATCTATCTCTTACTGTTACATCCCCGGGCAACGCCGGGCTCTACTGCTAGTGAAGTGATAAAAACGTGTATTTGTCCGAATACAACAGCTTTGGTTGAAATTTGTATTCTATATACCAACCCCAAATTCCACGCACATCCAGCAGTTAGAATGTAGTGCACCTTCTAGAATCCTTGTGCAAATTAATTGAAGCAAAACAAATAATTCCGTTTTTTTTTTTTTTAAATTTTGTATGTTTCCAATGAAACATGAACAAGTGCATATGTTACTACTTCGCAGGTCCATTCCACGATCTAATACCAATCGAGAATCTGTGGTCAATCTGCAATCCACAGATTCTCGATTGGATTTAAATCGGGAGTTTGATTTGCTCACTTGTAAGCTTTGTCAGTGTGTACATGCAGCGTTACAATTTTCGTACGCTTTCTTGAAATAACGTCCATCGCAGACAATGTCTGTTGGACAACTAATCGACAGTCGAGACAATAGTGTTTGGGCGTGATGAAAATCTGATGCAATCACGGATGACGGAATATTTTTCAATGCCAAACAAATTTCATTATACACTCTGAAATAGATTCATGTTCCTGTACACCACTGCAAATGACCTAAAATGCGGAAAAAAATAGATATCGATTACACCCTGTCACTCCAGTGGGTCTAAAATTTAACCTTATGGTGAAAGAAACGAAAAAATCTGCCTCGTCAGTCATGCATCCAAAGATACATGATTGCCTAAGTGTGTATCACATGGCACATAACTGACTGACTGACGTGCTAATAACCTTGGGAAAGGTATGAATCCTCTTCTTCTCCCCCTCCCCAGCTATGGGTAAATAGCAGGACAGATTCGGTTCTTTAGCCTTGGATTGCAACTGATCTACCGCAGAAAGAAATGGCAGCCTATTCCGGGAAAAAAGATACATGATCGCCTAAGCGTGTATCACGCATGGCACATAACTGACTGACTTCTAGATTGTTGGCACAGTCTCATCAATTTAGAATAAAAATGGCTAGATGTAATCTATTCTAATAGTTTTTTCCTCGCACCTCTCGCTCAAGGAACCCTATTCCAGCTCCATGCTTTTGGGCCAACTTTGTTCTTCAAAAATGTAAATGCAATGTCAATCGTTATCAACCTTCTTATTAATCCGTGTTCTTTTTTTCTTTTCTCGTTCCTCAGTGACCCCTTGTGTCTTAGTGGCTTTACTTCCTTGCAAAAAGCTAAACTGAGATTTGAAAACTCAAAATAGTTTAGGATTCACGAAAAATGGAATCACATGAGGAGGAATCTTACCTCGGATTTCGAGAACCACAAGAGTAAATCGTTAATTCGATATCAGACCTCACTGTTAGTCGCACACTTGGAAAATTGCCGCAACACAATCGTCCTCTTCGAGTTTGAACTTTTATCATACTAAGATGACCTTACCGGCAACAAAAGCGTCGATCTGTCAGCCAAATCTAAATCGAAGACGAGTGAAAAAAAAAAAAAAAAAAAAAAAAAAAGAAACACGGTATCTTCATGTTACGGGAAACACTAAAACGTTCTTTGTGCCTTGAAGGTAAATTAAAAAGAAAAGTAACTTTGACGCCGCTTTTATCAATAGTGCAATGCTCTGGGGCTGCGAAGACGTGCTCGTGCCAGTTCTATCCTACAACCGGAAGTGAAGCCACACGCCGGGTTACGGGGACAGAGGACAAGCGAGAGAGATGCGGACGCCATGTACGAAGGGCTTCCATTAATTTGGAAACTGGAAAGCAGCTGCGTGCCTTCTTTAAAGGAAAAACCTTGGAGAAGAGTCAGACATTTCTGCAATGTTGTTATGTCTACGATTCTATGGATTGTTTGTTGCTGTTGTTGCTGGTGTTGTTGTTGTTGTTCTTCTTCTTCTTCTTCTTCTTCTACTCCTTTTTCTTCTTCTTCTAATTATCTAACAATTTTCTCGTTGATATTTCTTTTCATTCTATCAGTTTCTATTTAAAAATCCTTTCTCATTTCAAATATCATCTCTTCTCTCCTTCTTCCTCTTAATCTCTTCTTTCTCATATCATTTTCTCTCTCTCTCTCTCTCTCTCTCTTTGACTTTCTTTCTATCTTTCTTATCTCGTATTCTTCCATCTCAACCTCTTCTTTCTCATATCGCCTTCATTCTCCCTTCTCCTTTCTTTCTTATCTTTTCCTCCCTCTATCAATATCTTCGTTCTCATCTCGCCTTCTTTCTCTGTCTCTCTCCCTTTCTTTCTTTCTTTCTTTCTTTCTTTCTTATTTCGTCTTCTCTCTATCTTAATCTCTTTTCATCTCACCTTTTTTCTCTCCTTTTCTTTATTTCTTTCTTTCTGTCTTTCTTTCGCATATCGTCTTCTTTCTCTCTCTCTCATTTTCTTTCTTTCTGTCTGACTTTCTTTCTCATATCGTCGTCTTTCTCTCTCTCTTTCTCTTTCTTTTTTCTTCCTATTTTCTTTCTCATATCGTCTTCTCTCTCTTTTTCATTCTTTCTTTCTTTCTGTCTTTCTTTCTCATATCGTCTTCTTTCTTTCTCTCTCTCTCTCTCATTTTCTTTCTGTCTTTCTTTCTTTCTGTCTTTCTTTCTCATATCGTCTTCTTTCTCTTCCCCTTTTTCTTTCTTTCTTTCTTTCTGTCTTTTTTATCTCGCCTTCTCTCTATCTTAACCTTTTCTTTCTCATACCGCTTTCTCTATCTCTCTCTCTCCTTTCTTTCTTTCTTTCTTTTTTCTTTCTTTCTTCTCTTGCCTTCTATCTTAATCTAACCTTTCTCATATCGCTTTCTTTCATTCTTATCTCGTCTCTCTCTCTCTCTCTCTCTCTGTCTTTATCTCTTCCTTTTCATCTCGCTTTCTTTCTACTGTTCCTTTCTTTCGTTCTTTCTTGTTTGCTTGCTTTCATGCCTCCTTTCTTATCTCGTCTTCTCTCTCTCTCTCTCTATCTATCTATCTATCTATCTGTCTATCTATCTCTCTCTCTATCTTAATCTCTTTCTTTCTCATTTCGCCCTCTTTCTCAATCTCCTCGCTTTTTTCTTTCTTTCTTATCTCGTTTTCTCTCTCTATCTTAATCTCATATCGTTTCTTCCTCTCTCTGTCTCTCTCTCTCCCCCTCTTTATCTATCTATCTATCTATCTATCTATCTATCTATCTTAATCTCTTTCTTTCTCATTTCGCCTTCTTTCTCAATCTCCTCACTTTTTTCTTTCTTTCTTATCTCGTTTTCTCTCTCTATCTTAATCTCAGTCTATCTGATATCGTTTCTTTCTCTCTCTCTCTCTCTCTCTCTCTCTCTCTCTCTCTCTCCTCGATTTCTTCATTTGCTTTCTTTCTTTCTTTCTTTCTTTTCTTATCTTCTTTCTTTCCTTAATCACTTTCTGTATAACAAGGCCGGCCCAACTTAATCCAGGTCCTTTCTCCCACTGGTCAATAATGGCGCCGGTCAACTGATGGTTATCTGTTGACCGCTTCGTTTCTTCATCTACCCTGTCCCACGTTGCGATTGATTGATCACAGTGTAGTGCAGATCGAACTTTCGTCCGCACTTAAACGCTGAATCGAGTTGACGTAACCGTGATATGAAAACCGAAGGACCACGACACCTTCGCTGGTGGAATACAAATTATAATAAATCACGAAGAAAGTCGTTGGGTTAATTCGGATTTGCTTTTATAAAATGGTTGTTGCACAAAATTAACCCTTCCTGTGGAATCTGGTGACAAGGAATCTTCTGTTTCTAAAGTTGGTGCGGGTTTAGCCATTACAGCTCGGAATTATGCCGGTCGGGAACTCCGCTCATCAATTCTCCGCGTCAGCCATACTCTTCTCGTCAGTTCTCACCGACAGCACGATACGCGACTTCTTCCGGCGTCTCCGGCCAATCGCCGGGCTCGAGTGCCCTCGGGACGCTTCTCGCTCAACCTCGACTGCTCTAACTCTCCCTGCTTCAAGTAGCGTACGGTTTAAATGCATAACTCTGACCACGCCTCCAGATACATTAATAATATTTTTACTCGACCTTCGATTGACAACACATGACGCTCGATAATGGGTCAACTACCGTTATTCCCCATGTATAATACGCCTTCATCCATAATACACACCCCAAAATTTGTGCTGAATGTGTGGGAAAATACTTCTACTCATGCATAATACGCACCCCTTGTTTGATAATCAAACCCTATAAATTGTACCTCTCCAATTGCATTACGGCCAGCATTTGCTACTCTTATTCAAAATGGTTTTAAACATAGAATAATATTATTCTAATTTAGTTTTATGATAATTCTTATTTTATTTTATATTTCTAAGTTAGATAGATAAGATTGTATTTGACATCCTTATGGGGTCGCAATCGCCGAATGTTAGTGTCAAATTGTCGTATGTTTGGAGTGAGTAGTCATTTCGCTACTGAGACCGGCCTATGAAACGGCAATTTTTTAAAGATTTTTTTTTGTAGCTGTGCATAATACGCACCCCTGATTTTGCTTATTATTTTTTTAGAAAAAATGCGTATTATACATGGGAAATTATGGTACTTAAAGCAATATAACTTTGTTTTTACATTACTTTGTTACTCCACAATTATTGTTTACGAATTAATTCACTCTGCTTTTGGAACTACTTCCCTTTCTCCAAAGAATACTTTCTTGGCCTCGATGGATTCTTTTGTTCATATTCAAAACAATTACCAATTGTTTATATTTCCAATACGACATAAACCTTGCCCGTGTTGATCGGTTGTTACTTATCAAACGAAAAACAATTTCCAATCGGCTAAAAAAGGAATTTATCCACGTTTAACAAATAACTATGAAATCTTATTTTCCAAAATAACCGATTTCAAATCCCAAAGTTTTAGATTTTGGTTCTCAAAATAATTTTTTGCACTGTCAAGAAAATCATGCTTCATGATTATTTTCCCAACCTCATATCACAACGTTTCTAAACCTTCAATTCTATAGGGGATTCTCACATGAACCATTTTCTTAATTCTATGTCACTTTCCTTCCAACTACTACTAGTGACACTTTAATAGTGTCACATTCTAATAAAGCAAATACTAATAATGATTTAGAATTGGTGTAAAAGAGTTCTGATTATTAAAGGACTTTTTCTATGTTAGGGAAGGCAATTTGTTTTATTTACTTTGATATTAATGGGACATAAATAAAAAGAAAAAGATATATAAAAAAAAAAAGACAAAGATATAAAAAATGAAAAAAAATTGCTTCACTCCAAATCTCTCTCAGGCTTCAAGTAGCATACGGTTTTATATGCATAACCTTGATCACACCTCCGGATGCATATTATTCATTTTCATCGACCTTGGATTCACAACAACACCGGACTCTTGATAATGGGTCAACTATTTAAAGTAGTATAACTTTGTTTTTACATTACTATGTTACTCCACAATTATTGTTTAGAAATTCATTTTTGTATATAAAAATTTATTCCGCATCAGCAAAGAATTCACTCTGCTTTTAGAAATCCTTACCCTTCTCCAAAAATAATTTCTTCATCTCAATAAATTCTTTTGTCCATTTTCAAAACAACCAGCAATTGTTTACTATCTCAAACGACCAAAATACTGCCTGTATCGATTAAATGTTATTTTCCAAAACAACCGATTTCAAATCCCAATGTTTTATATTTTGTTTTTTTTTATATAATTTTCTGTGCTGACAAGAAAATCGTGCTTCATAATTATTTGCCTGACCTCATATCGCAATATTTCACATTTTTTTTTTAAGCATTTCACCCCAAGCAAGGCCACTAGGACGCAAGGGGTTACAGAAAATTTAGAGCAAAATCAGATAGGAGTGATAGAAGAAAGGATGAGGAGAAGGGTAGTGGATAGATCAAGACAACTGGAGATGTCGATTGACATTACACTGGAATAGCTGGAGACTAATAGCTCTCAGGGAAACTGGAACAGGGAAGGGAGTTCCACAGGCGAGAGGTGCGAGACATGAAGCTATTGGAGTAGAAGAGACGTCTACATTTAGGAGTTTCGACAGTGAAGGGTTGAGAGCGGGATGCCAGCCTCGTAGGGCGCTTGAACTCATGAAGTCTGGGAACCAGCGAATTCAGCTCCTCGGAGCGATTGCCATGAAAGTATTTGTAGAACAGACAGAGAGAGGCGACGGCTCGTCTGTGAGAAAGTGACTGTAGACGAGATGCCAGAGCAGGGCCAATTATATTGCACATCCGCCTCTGGAGCCTATCAAGAACCCCGAGGCAAACAGAAGGGGCTCCAGACCATATATGGCAGAAATATTCCATGTAAGGGCGAATTGTTGATTTGTAGATCTGGAGGATCGATTCCGGGGAGAACAATTTCGTGGCGCGGCTCAGGGAGCCAACTTTCCTTGCGGTGGACGAAGCAATTGACTCCACAATTTCCACATTGCAGCCCTTCTAATGATCCAGTTCTATCCGGGACTCTCACATGAATACTTTTCTTAACTCGATGCCACATTCTTTCCAACTCCTATCAGTAACACTTCTTTTTTTTAAGCATTACGCCCCGAGCAAGGCGTGAAGCCACCAGGAGACAGGGGGTTGCAGAAGATTTGGAGCAAGAGCAGACAGGAGTGATAGAAGAAAGGATGAGGAGAGGGATAGTGGATAGATCAAGGTAACTGGAGATGTCGATTGACATTACATTTGAATAGTTGGAGATTATAGCTCTCAGGGAAACAGTAATTGGGAAGGGTGTTCCACAGGCGAGAGGTGCGAGGTATGAAGCTATTGGAGTAGAAGAGACGGCTACATTTAAAAGTTTCCTTAAATAGTGTCACACTTTCTCATTTCGCTTTCTTTTTCTCTGTCCTCACTTTCTTTCTTTCTTTCTTTCTTTCTTTCTTTCTTTCTTAGCTTCTCTTCTGTCTCTTTCTGTTCTTGTCCTTCTCGTCGTTTTCACCGTTTTTCTTTCGCTTTTTCTTGTTTCTTTCTTTCTTTCTTTCTTTCTTTCTTTCTTTCTTTATTTTAATCTCGCTCTTTACCATCTCCCACTCTTTCTCTAAGTTAATATCTGCTCCTCTTTTCTCGGATTTTCACTCTTTTTTAATCTCTTTCTATTTCTTCCCGCCTTTTATTATCTTCCTTGTTGTCCATTAGTTTATCTTTTTTTTTTTCTTTTTTTACGAATATTTTTTTGATTTTCTATTGTCAATTTATTCTGATGAATCACTGCATTGTCCCGACCGGCATAATATCCACGAAGGAATTAAAAGAAATATAATCCTGTCGTCTGTTATTGTGTTACCTGACACTCAGTCTGTGATTGATAAAAAGTATTTAAGAATAGCGAGTAATTAAACAGGTACGTACAAATTGAGACGTCAGCATTTGATGTTGTTGTCGTCATTGATATCAGAATAGTCCAACCATTTTTCATAAACTTAACATTTTAAACATTACTCTCCAAGAATTCGTTCTAAGCGTTTAAAATGCCATAAATTTAAAATTTTAAACACTACTCTCCAGTTCTTGGTGTTTAATAAACTTAACATTTTAAACACTACTTTCCCCGAATAATATTTTAGCATTTAAAGTGCCATAAATTTAAAATTTTGAACACTACTCTCCACGTATTAGATCTTAGTGTTTAATAAACTTAACATTTTAAACACTACTTTCCGTGAATTATATTTTAGCAT